TAAACTCCCCCGGTAGCCGTGTTTACTAGCCACCCGTGGGTGCATCTAAGGATACATTCGGTACATTCCATATTATCACTGTTTTTTGGTGCTTGTTTCTGCAAAATAAGTCACCATGGGCCCCAAGAAAGCTTCTAGTGCCAACCCTGTGGTAAAAAGAGTGAGAATTAGTATGGAAATTAAGAAAGATTTTGAAAGGTTTGGGGCTAACCCTGAGAAGCCTATGCCAGTTGTGGAATCCATTGTGCCTACTCAAAAATTAAGGAAATGTGTGCACAGTGGGTTGAACTGCAAACCTTTATGGATGAAAATCACCCTAACACAACTATTGCAAGCCATGCTGGTGACTATTACAATGACAATGTTGTGGTCCATTTTAGACAAATCGTAAAGGAACGAGAGGTACAGAGCTCTATGGACAGATTTGTTGTGCGACAGAGGTCCAGTGACTCTCAAGCTGGTCCTAGTGGCATTAAAAGAAGAAGGGAAGTAACCCCGGAAAAGGACTTGCTACCTCAAGTCCTAATGGAAGGGGATTCCCCTTCTAAACACTAACACCATCCACATTCTCCCCTCCTCCCATCCCATCAATCATCACCAGATCTTCATTAAAGGTAAGTGTCAATTATTCTATTGTTATTATTCTTTTTGTTTTGTTGTTACTGTAATTATTCTATTGCATTAAACTTAATATTTCATGTGGTAAAATATTTTTTTCATACTTTTGGGTGTCTTGCACGGATTAATTTGATTTCCATTATTTATCGGGAAAATTGATTCGCTCTTCGATATTTTCGGTATTCGATGAGCTCTCAGGAACGGATTAATATCGAATACCGGAGGTCCACTGTACAACAGAATGCAAAAGGGGCACAAAGCACTCTTCGACATACCTCATGTTAGTCTCACATTATGCAAAATGCAATGCACGTAAAGGACCTGAAGCTCTGGAATTCACTACCTGCACCAGTAAAAGATCCCTTGACTGCAAACAACACAACTAAACTACACAACTTCAATCAGTATGAAGCAACTCACCCAAACATTATAAGACCACTAGTCTATTAAAACATCTGCTAATCTGCTAAACCATTATTTGTATTGTTATTTGTTATATGCACCTTCAAGATTATTATTCTTATAAACCTCCACTTTTGACTACCTTGCATTAGTATTAAGATAAAATAAAGATTATTAAAAGATAACCACTCCTATCTGTCTAGACTTAAGTAGATTTTAAGTATTAAGATTAGTTTGCCTGAATGCCTGGCATGATGTGGCTTTTTTGTACTTAACAAATCAAAATTCTAATTACTGCAACCTTTGCAAAGAAATTTTTATCTTTTGTTTTTATCTTTATCAGTAAAATAGGTACCTGGGTGTTAGTTGACTGGTGTGGGTCGCATCTTGGGACAAACTGACCTAAATGCTGTGCATAACAAGCGGCTTTCTACATAGTAGTATGTAACTGATGTCAGCTAGGACTGTATACCATATACATGTAGTAAATAAAGATTTTTATTATTGCTATTATTATTATTATCACAGGGATTGTACTGCATCTGGGTAATGGTAGGAAATCATGTTTAATCCAAGGAGAGGAATTCTGTGAAACAAGTGACCTTCACAGCATAAGATAATCCTACTTTGCAATTACCATTAGGGTCATTATATATTTATTATTTTAATCAAGGGGAAGAAATAAATCCTGTAGGGGTCATAAAGCACCTGGAAGTTCATTAAGTAGAGGTTTAAGTTCAGTAAGTTCGGTAAGATCACAAGTCAATAAGTTCAGTAAGTTCGGTAAGATCACAAGTTCAATAATTTCCCAGTAAGTTCGGTAGGATCACAAGTTCAATAAGTTCAGTAAGTTCGGTAAGATCACAAGTTCAATAAGTTCAGTAAGTTCGGTAGGATCACAAGTTCAATAAGTTCAGTAAGTTCGGTAGGATCACAAGTTCAATAAGTTCAGTAAGTTCGGTAAGATCACAAGTTCAATAAGTTCATAAGTTCGGTAAGATCATAAATTCATAAATAAGTTTATTTAGGTACAGATCCACATAATTACCATACTTTAGTATATTATTATGATCAAACAAAGCGCTAAACCTACTAGGGTAATACAGCGCTGCAATACAGCATAAATTACCTAGGATAACCCCCCCAAAAAAAGTGGAAAGTGACTATTTCCATTGTGTTCTTGGATCAAGAGCCGCTGACCGTCCTGCCAGCACTTCCCTACAGGACAAGCGGTCATTATACAGCTCATATTAACCTGTAAAGAACTATATTAACCTGTAAAGAACTATATTAACCTGTAAAGAACTATATTAACCTGTAAAGAACTATATTAACCTGTAAAGAACTATATTAACCTGTAAAGAACTATATTAACCTGTAAAGAACTATATTAACCTATAAAGAACTATATTAACCTATAAAGAACTATATTAACCTATAAAGAACTATATTAACCTATAAAGAACTATATTAACTTATAAAGAACTATATTAACTTATAAAGAACTATATTAACCTATAAAGAACTATATTAACTTATAAAAAACTATATTAACTTATAAAGAACTATATTAACCTATAAAGAACTATATTAACTTATAAAGAACTATATCATTCACTTAAAAACCCCTCAAGGAAGGTTCCTTGATGTTGGTGAGGGGCTCTTGATTTAGGGAATTGGATCTGTGCTCCAGTTCCCCGAATTAAGCCTGAATGCCTTCCACATATCCCCCCCCCCCAGGCGCTGTATAATCCTCCGGGTTTAGCGCTTCCCCCTTGATTATAATAATAATAATTCACTTAAACACCATAAAACACAAACAAAATAAGGTTCAGCAAGATACAAGTGTCTAGGGAACCCCGGGTGGTCACCACTACTAGTAACAACTTATAACTACTAGTAACAACTTATAACTAGTAGTAACAACTTATAACTAGTCCAACAATGAACAAATTACTGTAAACACACCAAATAATAGTTTGTGGTTGTTAGTGATGTAATAAGTGAAGTTGAGTGTTATCACCTGGTCCTCCTCTCACTCTATATTAATGACCTTTTATCTCATACTACACAAAATGTTTACTTCATATTAACATATTTAAATGTAAAAAATTATTACTGTTTTTACTTATTGGTAGTAATATTACTGCAGGTTTCAATAACATCAAAGTTGATAACAGTATTGTCCACGTCACTGGTAAACACACACGGTCCTGGGACCACTCACTCCCCTTTGTCCGGTCTGTCATGGTCCCCTGCCATGGTCCGTGGACCATGACACGGTCCACCCACTCTCTTACAACACATGATCCATACAACGGGGCATAAGAAGATGAATACCATTCTTAATGAAGTTCAAGCAATTTGTAATCGGCTAGGCCTCATAATATCTTCCTCTAAAACAAAGATATTAACAAGCAAACGACATCCCCCACCCATCTATTTGCAGGGTGAAATAATTAGCTACGTTAAAACTTAGATATCTTGGTGTAGATGTACCCTTTAACAAATCCACTATACCACATTATTATTATAATCAAAGGGGAAGCGCTAAACCCGTAGGATTATACAGCGCCCGGGGGGGGGATGTGGAAGGCATTCAGGCTTAATTCAGGGAACTGGAGCACAGTTCCAATTCCCTAAATCAAGAGCCCCTCACCAACATCAAGGAACCTTCCATGAGGGGCACTATACCACAACTAAACAAGAAATGCAAAGCTAGGCTAAATGCTCTCAAAGCTGTTGCTGGCTACAATCCCAACTATGGTGCTAATGTTGCTGGCTACAATCCCAACTATGGTGCTAATGTTGCTGGCTACAATCCCAACTATGGTGCTAATGTTGCTGGCTACAATCCCAACTATGGTGCTAATGTTGCTGGCTACAATCCCAACTATGGTGCTAATGTTGCTGGCTACAATCCCAACTATGGTGCTAATGTGAGAATCGTGAGAATGATGTACATAGCCTATGTTAGGTCCTTAATTGATTATGCTGCTCCCATGTTGATATTAGCTAGAGAAAGTTCTCTCCGACCCTTGGAGTTAATGCAAAATGAAGCTCTCAGGATTATTCTTGGCTGTCCCAGATCTACAAAAGTTCTTAACATGAGGAATGAGCTTGGTATTTCTAGTATCAGTGATAGGATTGTTGAGATTAACACTGTACTCGGTATTAGAATGTTGAGAAACGAACCAGACACTGTCACAATGAATCTTACCAAGTGTCTAGAGGTAAATACACACAGATCTAAATGGATTGTGAAAACGTGTAATAACGTTAAGTTTTATAACCTGCATGAACTGTATCACTGTAGGCAACAAGAGCATTTCACCCCTCCGTGGAAGATGTGTTCATTTAATATCACATACCTGCAAGTCCCTCCCAAGAAGCTCATTGCTAGCAATCCCTTCCTTAAATCTCTTGTTAGAGCAACTGCTGAAGAAGAAATTTCTCACCTAGCTGGTAGTAATAAGTTATCACAAGTTATATACACTGATGGATCTAAACAGGAGTCTTCTGGCAGGGCTGCATCTGCTCTTGTTGCCACCTCCCTAGTTAAGAACGATAATAAATTTGTTGAGTTAGGCATAAGAATTAACTGGGCGTCTACACTGCAAACTGAATTGTTTGCAATCCTAATGGTGCTAAAGCTAACCTATGACACTGAGCTTGACTCTATCATCATTACTGATTCTATGTCATCATTGAAGGCTCTTGACTCATATAATGACTCCAACAACATGCTCATTGGAGAAGCCAGGTATAGATACTCAAAAATTAGGGACAAAGGAATTAATGTACAATTGCTATGGATCCCATCACACATTGGATTACTCCTTCATGATAAAGTTGATATGTTAGCCAAGAAGAGTACCCAGAAGGAGAATGTAGAATATAACTTTGGTATAACTGTGTCTAGCATTAGGAATAATATTAGGAGAGAAGTAAATAATGAAAATGATTGTTATAGGAATGCAGTTAGAAGCCTGAGTAGATCTATAGCCCACTATGATAAGTATGTTTATGGAGCAACTTGCAATGTGAACAGACTGACTGATGTTGTAGTGGCCAGGCTTAGGCTTGGTTACAGGTATTTCTGGCAGTTTGGGAGACACACAGATGATGATCAAACTAAATGTAAATTATGTGATCAGGCATATGGTCACTGTCTTGAACACTATGTGCTTAATTGTCCACTTATTGAGGAATACAGAGACAGACAGTATAATAACCTATGTGACATGTCAAGATATCTTATTAATGAAAATAAGATACCAGATATACTAAGCAAATTTCCTAAATTTGCTTGTAACAGATAAGTGAACTATAGATATGTAGATATAAATCCATATGTATTCCTGTTAACCCTTTGGGGCCTAGTTCCTAGGCCTTTTGTGTATCCATATGCTCTCGCGCTACCGTGCACAGGATGGATATGGGGTGCACAATAAACTAGCCACTTCGGTGGCAAAATCTAATCTAATCTAATCTTACAACACACGTTCTTGGTAGGTATAATGTTTGTCAGGAAACAAGACAAGTGTTTCATGACGGGTCTTAATCATATGATGACCCATAGCTGGAATTTTTGGTCATCTGACCGAGGTCTTGGGGTGGCTTATCGGTCCACACCCTTTACAAATTGTGGTTGTGGACATAACCATTTCTTACCATTTTTCACGTTCCTGGGGACCTGGTCTTAATATGTATGCCATCATCTGGTCCAGGACTTATTATTTGTCTTGTTGGTTCCCTACTTCCCACTCAACTGGGTTCACATTCCATTGAGAACAATCCATACCACGGGCGGGATTTGAACCCGCGGTCAGAGAGTCTCAAAACTCCAGACCGTCGCGTTAGCACTGGACCAGCTAGCCACAATAAGATTCGTCCAGCTAGGTATGTTTCTACACCATAGGAAGGTTAGCATAGGCACCACTGTGACCACAAATGCAAGTCATGATGACGGCAGTGAAGGGACTTTAGCTAGAGTTCGTCACGGCCACGCTAGCTGGAGATTCGTCTGTAAAAACTTGCATTTGTGGTCACAGTGGTGCCTATGCTAACCTTCCTATGGTGTAGAAATATACCTAGTTGGACGAATCTTATTGTGGCTAGCTGGTCCAGTGGCTAACGCGACGGTCCGGAGTTTTGAGACTCTCTGTCCGCGGGTTCAAATCCCGCCCGTGGTATGGTTTGTTTGCAATCGTGTCATTACGATTTCGTGAGTCATTGAGAACAAACTTCCACTTCACTTCTGTTTCTTGTAAATAGCCTGCTAATTTTTACCGTCTGAGGATAACCTACAATGACTGTTTAGGGACAGACACTTATCTATCATACAGTGTCCCACAGCGCCGTGAAATGAATCCATTCCACGAACATGGACAAGATGGCCCGTGACCTGATGGTACACCCTCTCGCTTCACACGGTGAAGGTCAAGTTTATTCAGGTATATATAGAGTTACAAAGACTATTATACATAGTAGCTTATGTGTAGAGAACCTAGGATAACTCGAAAAAGTTAGATAAAATAACTTATTTTCACTGGGGTCCTTGTGATAATTATTATTTATATATAAAAGTTAAAAAACAGGTATCTTAACTATGTAAAAGCCGTTTCAAGAAAAAACGATATACTAAGGGAGAGGTAAAATTAGTTAATTTCATACCAGAAATCACTCTCCTCCCATTCTGCAGCCTTCTTCATGAGGTACATTTTGGCTCTCTTCTTGAACTGGCTCATGCTATGACAGGCTTTGACATGTACAGGCAGTCTATTCCACTCTTTTATTGCAGTACAGAAAAAAAAAAGTCTTTGAAGGACCATAACATTGTATCAATCGCATCTGCTAGAAAAATGACAGGATGGATAATGAGAACTTCAAAACTAGGGAGGCCAAGCCCATGATGACACTTTTCAGGTCACTTGTTCTATCTAGGCTGGAATATTGCTGCACACTAACAGCACCTTTCAAGGCAGGTGAAATTGCCGACCTAGAAAATGTACAGAGAACTTTCACGGCGCGCATAACGGAGATAAAACACCTCAATTATTGGGAGCGCTTGAGGTTCCTAAACCTGTATTCCCTGGAAACGCAGGAGGGAGAGATACATGATTATACACCTGGAAAATCCTAGAGGGACTAGTACCGAACTTGCACACGAAAATCACTCACTACGAAAGCAAAAGACTTGGCAGACGATGCACCATCCCCCAATGAAAAGCAGGGGTGTCACTAGCACGTTAAGAGACCATACAATAAGTGTCAGGGGCCCGAGACTGTTCAACTGCCTCCCAGCACACATAAGGGGGATTACCAACAGACCCCTGGCAGTCTTCAAGCTGGCACTGGACAAGCACCTAAAGTCAGTTCCTGATCAGCCGGGCTGTGGCTCGTACGTTGGTTTGCGTGCAGCCAGCAGCAACAGCCTGGTTGATCAGGCTCTGATCCACCAGGAGGCCTGGTCACAGACCGGGCCGCGGGGGCGTTGGCCCCCGGAACTCTCTCCAGGTAAACTCCAGGTAAAGCTACAGAAAGACTTTCACATAATGTAAATTTAGCACCTTCTGGTGTAAATGATGATTCTGTAGGCCCAATAAATATTTTGATAGGTAGTGACTATTATGCCTCCTTTGTAAAGGGTATTGTAAAGAAATGTGGTGTCACCCTTTTAAAGACTGCAGGAGGCCATGTAATGTATGGTGGATTCCTCGTAATAATAATGCATAACTAGAGGAAACTATAAATACCATCACTGTGTGTCTACTCATGAAATCGTGCCCCAGTAAAATTCTTCCATAGAGAATGGTGTTGAGCCAGTGCATAAATTGTGGGCATTAGACAGCATTGGAATAGATGTAAATGAAGAAAGTCCAGACGATTCTTTTACTCAGGAACAATACCTGAGAGATGTAAAATGTGAATCTGGACAATACTGGGTCCGACTTCCGTGGAGAATGAGCCATCCAGAATTGCCCACTAATTACAGAATGACATTACCTGGAGTTTACCTGGAGAGAGTTCCGGGGGTCAACGCCCCCGCGGCCCGGTCTGTGACCAGGCCTCCTGGTGGATCAGAGCCTGATCAACCAGGCTGTTACTGCTGGCTGCACGCAAACCAACGTACGAGCCACAGCCCGGCTGATCAGGAACCGACTTTAGGTGCTTGTCCAGTGCCAGCTTGAAGACTGCCAGGGGTCTGTTGGTAATCACCCTTATGTATGCTGGGAGGCAGTTGAACAGTCTCAGGCCCCTGACACTTATTGTATGGTCTCTT